CCCTCGCGGTTCCTGTGCTGGGAATTGTGGGAACTGCGAGGGAGCATGGTAGACAGGCTCCTCCTCCTTCAACCATCAGTGACTGGAGTGCCGCCGGACCGGCGAAGCTGCCACCCGGCCCGGCGGCTCCAGTCTGGAATGCGGCCGGCCCCCTCTCAGTGTGCCACCTATGTGGCAGCGCAGCCCCCAGGTGCCGCGGCCCACCGGGAAATTTCCCGGTATCCCAGTGGGCCAGTCCGGCCCTGGTTGTACATCCTGTTTTAGTAATGGCCAGAAGCGATTCATTATTGTTTTGACCTGGTCCCAACCAGCATCAAACTTAGCAATGCATCTATGCGGTTTCTGATCACCTTCCTTTGGCTTTAAAATTGAGGTGACATTTTCTCTTAATAACGTTTCCTGTTCAGTTAAGAGAGCCCTATGATAGGCCCTCTTAAGGCACTTATTGGGGTAGCCCTTAGACCTGAACATTTGGCGTTGCTTGTATCTCAAAATCCTCTATGTCTGAGCAATTTCGCCTTAGACGTAAGTATTGGCCTATAGGGATTCCCCTTTTCTGTTGAATTGGATGATGGCTTTTCCAATTCAATAGACTGTTTGTCGCTGTATTTTTCCTAAAGAGGTTTGTTTTAATTGTGCCTTCTTGTTCTGGAGAAACCGTCAAATCCAGAAAACTAAGTGAAGGGGTGCCGATTTCTGCTGTGAACTTGAGATTAAGATCGTTGACATTCAGACCCCGTACAAATTGAAAAAATTGATCTGCTGACCCAGTCCAGATGATTATAATATCATCTATATATCTTTTCCAAAGGTGAATATACTGGGTCAGGGGATTTTTTGGGGAGGATGTGAACACCACTTGTTCCTCCCACCATCCCAGGTGCAGGTTAGCATATGAGGGTGCACAGGACGTCCCCATAGCATTCCCCTGCACCTGGTGGAAGTAATCCCCATTGAATAAGAAAAAGTTATGTGCCAAAACGAACCTTAACAGGTTTATCACTAAGTCACTATGCTTGTCTAGATGTGTACCCCTTTTCCTCAAAAAATAGTCTGTATGTTTAAATCCCAGAAGATGTGGAATAGAGCTATATAGGGATTCTACATCTAGACTGCAGATTATGGAATTATCTGGCAATTTTGTTTGAGTTAGAACAGATAGTGTTTGCTTAGTGTCTCTCAAGTACGATGGTAGTTGAGTCACCAAGGGTTTCAAAATGTGGTCTAAGTAAATGCTTACATTCTGAGTCATGTTGTCATTGCCTGAGACTATAAGTCTCCCTGTTAAGACACTAAACTGTTTGTGGATTTTAGGTAAACTGTAAAAGGTAGAAATGCGAGGACTACCAATTAGCATATAATTGTATTCATCTTTTGATATTATTTTATTGTCATAACCTTGTTGTAAAATGCCTTTTAGCTCTTTGATGAATATTTGGTAGGATCTTTTTTTAGGGTTTTATAGATAGTCTGATTAGTAAGAATTTGTTTATTCATTTTTACATATTTAGGGGTGTCCATAATGACAATATTCCCACCTTTGTCGGAGGGTTTTATTGTTATTGCCTGATTCTCTTTTAAATCATTCAAAGCCTTATATTCCAATACCGTTAAGTTTGAATTTGGTTTATAACTTACATCGTGCGGTGAGATTTTCTCAATCTCCTCGCATACCAACTTTACAAAGGTTTCCACATATTTAGAGTCTCCTAATTTTGGGCAATAGTGGCTCTTGTTCTTAAGATCAGTCAGGGGATATTTGACTCCCTCAGTGCGGTCACTTTCCTCTAATAAATCTGCTAGGATCATAGTGAGGCGATAATCCCCCAATTCCATGCCTAAATTTTTTGCTTTTTTCTCTTCATTTAGAAGGTAGTTTTTATGTAGAATGAGTTTGCGTGCGAAGAGATGAATATCTTTGACCCAGGTGAATTTGTCAAAGTGTGGTGTGGGAATGTAAGAAAGGCCTTTTGATAGTAAATCTAGTTCTGATTGAGTGAGAATGTAACTAGATAAATTTACTATCTGTCTATCCTTTACAGTCGGTTCCTCCTGTTGTACTGTCTTTTGGGTCTTGGTCTTAGGAAGGGACGATTGTCCCCCTGTGTGTGGTCTAAAAAAGTGACCCCTTTTTTGAGGATCCCTCTATTGTGTTCACTAGAAGTGGAGGGAATCCCTTGTGTATCTGTTTCGGATTCACTTGACTCATACTCCGAGGTTGAGACCTGATCTTTATCTACCCTTCTTTTCCTTTGGAACCTTTTGTATACATTGCCAGTTTTAAAATCCTTATGGTCCCTTAGGAACTTTTGATGTTTCCTCTGTTTAATAGTGGTTTGATATTTTTCCAAATTATTTTGCAACTTATTTTCATTGGGACCAAAAGCTGGGTCTTTTTTATGTTGTTGAATCTTTTCTACTTCACTCTCAATCTTTTTTTCAATTTCTATTAATTTCTTATTCTCAAATTTACATATGATTTGCATGAAGCGTGCTGAACACTGACCAGCAGCTTCCTCCCATTCTTTAATGAATTCCTCTTCATCTATGTGTGAGCTGGGAGTGGTTGGAATTCTTAGCACCCTTGGTATTAAGCTTTTTTTTAAATAATTTTCAAGGGAGGCTATTTCCCAGCTTATTCTAATTTGTTGTTTGTACAGTTGTGTGAGGGAATTAAAGCCTGACGTCAACGAATAATTTAAATCCTCTATCTGCAAATTAGATTCTGAAAAAATTAGATCGGCATCTTGGCACCATTTTGTGGCATCTGGTTTATTTGATAAAAAAAACCGCCATAGATGAATTATACAAGAAGTCTCTCTTCTGACCAATGTAATGGGTCTTGAACCCTTTTATCAAGTTTAATAAGAAAATAGAAAAGAAATTTCCCTTAGTCTTGGACCAAAAAAAAAAGATTTTTGTAACAAAGACTGGGGAAATTTGGTCAGGATGTGGTACCAGCTCCACCAAAAGTTGGCTTGAACCCAAATAAAATGCAAAATCACTATAGAGAAACTAGATAAGGAAGATTGCCCTTTAAGGGGCACTTCCAACGGCTGGTATATAGAGTACACTGTTCTTGCATTACATACCTCAGAACTAGTTTAGAAAAAAATACATGTAAACAATTGAGGAAGTAAAAAGCACTAGCTTCTAAGGTACTAGACAACAAAGTATCCTTTGGGAAAACAATGATACACCAAAACTTTAATAGACTAATGTTATGCAAAGGATACTAGCGGGTCAATGTGTCCACGTACTAGTGTTACTAAATTCCAAATTCCCCTCTATAAAATGTGTCAATGCAGTTAAAAGGCAATCCACAGCTATATAAACATTGAAAAAGAGCCGTGGAGAGACATAAAGAGGGGAAAAGAATACAGCGAGGGAATAAATTGACAATGGAATAACTTAGGTACCCAATGATATACCAAGGGATCCTAAATGAGACAGTAAGTAGGACAATGCTACAATAATGGAAAGAAGGTCCTTGTGGAGGAAATTGTTATGGTGGCTACTAAATAATCACTATAGATGTATTGCTCGTAAGGAGGAAGGTCTAAGGCTGCTCAATAGTAACCAATGGTACTGGAGTATTCTGAGACATCTACAAACCATTAAATGGGAACAGGACTACTATTTGGTAACTGCGGATGTCAGTTCTTTATATACCATCATCTCACATCAGAAGGGCTGTACAGCAGTGAGTCTCTTTTTAGAGCAATCCCATTCTTTTGAACGAGATCAAATTGATTTTATTATGGAAGCAATACAATTAATTTTAAACAGCAATTATTTCTGGTATGATGACACTATTTATCTGCAGGCGTGTGGGACGGCGATGGGCACCAGGTTCGCACCCAGCTACGCCAATCTGTTTATGGCAGATTGGGAACGTCAGCATTTACAACTTAATGAGGGCTGGGTGGAGGGCCTGGTGACCTATGGCCGCTACATAGATGACCTGTTTTTTATTTGGAAAGGCACCGAGGATACACTACACACATTTTTAAATCAATTAAACAATAATGAATGGGGAATTATTTTATCAACCAATTTTAGCAAATATACTGTCACGTTTTTAGATTTGGATATTTTTATAGACAATGAAAAGGTAAAAACCAAAGCCCATTTTAAAGATGTGGATGTCAATAGTTTTATCCACACTTCTAGTTGCCATGGCTAAACAGTGTACCCAAGTCACAACTCATACGAATCAAAAGAAATTGTACGGATGAGGTTAACTTTAAGGAACAAGCAGACAAATTAATTAACGACTTGTTGGACAAGGGTTATGAAAAGGAAAAACTAAAAGACATCTATATATAAATCTCAAAAATTCCACAAAGCACCTTACTACAAGAAAACAAGAAAACACAAAACGAAGGAAAAGTCAATCTACCCATTATATGCAACTACAGTCAATAATAAGGCATTAAGGAAAATTTTAAACAAACATTGGCCCATTCTACTACAAGACCATGCCCTATCTCAAATTCTACCAGCTAAACCCAAAATAGTGTTTAGGGGTGCTGCTAACCTAAATAGACTTTTGGTAAAAACCACCACTAGCCTGGATAAAGGAAAGGGCTTTTATGCATGTGGCACATGCCTAGCATGCAGGAACACAAACAATAAAAAAAGACATTAAAAAATTTAAGAATTTCAATAATAATGAGGAGTTCCCCATTAAAGATCTTATAACCTGCCATTCAAATAACATAATATATCTACTGGAATGCACATGTGGTTTAAAATATGTGGGACACACCAAACGGAAACTACATACTAGGATTGAAGAACACACCAGAAATATTAAGAAAAAGTTTGAGGGACATAGCGTATCACACCATTTTTCCCTGGCACATAATAGTGACCCTACACAACTTAAATTCATGGGTATACATAAAGTTAAGGGCAACTGGCGAGGAGGGGACTTTACCAAGTTATTAGGACAGAGTGAGATGAGGTGGATATTCAATCTTGGGACTTTAAAACCCCAGGGTTTGAACGTAGACTTCGAACTCTGCCATTTTATTTAAACCAATACATTTTATCCATTAGGTTCCATTATCATTTACATATATGTACACCATTATATACACGTTATATACATTTTATATATACATCATATCTATAAATATATTACCCTTCTATCCAACGGTACATTATCTGTGTTTTAATTTAATACTGTGAATACCACTTAAAGAGTATAAATTTATATCCTTATTGGACATAATATACATCCAAAAGGATATTCACCCTAATAAGGTTCCATTTATTACTACCACTTTAAGAAACACCTATCACCTTATAAGCACTTTTGCACTTTAATATTCTAATAATCACTAACTATATTTATATTATATAAGTCCAATGATACATGATTATGTGTATTATTATTGCTGTATTATTCTTTGTTTAGTTTTTATTTATAAATTCTTATATTCTTATTTGCATATACCCCCATACATATCCCACCTGTCTCTCAAGCCGGAGGGGGAGGAGCTTACGGCCATGCCGACACGCCTTAGGGGCGGGATGTACCGGTGTGGCCACGGACTATCCCCTTCTACATCATAATCCCCTCCCCCCGGCCTGCACGCATGGGAGATGTGCGGCAAGGCCGGGGAGTCAGGGAGCTTCCGGGTGGCAGCTGAGTGGTATCACGTGGGTCTGTGACGTCACTTCCGCCAACTGCCCGGACGCATGCGGATCACTTCCGCCAACCACCGCTGCCCACCAATGAAATCTATAGCAAATAAAGGCGCTGAAAATCCTAACCTTTTAAAGGTATACACATACATTTCCCCACATAAGAAAAATGTAAACTCCACTTTGATTGGACAAAATGCACTGAGCTCATTAAAGGGGAAGACCCTAAGGACATTTAAAAATGGAAGATTCAGAGGACTAACACTACAGCTTACTGAAGAAGCTCTATTTGAGAGTGAAACACGTATTGGCCATTTTTTAAAGGACTTTTATTAAGGACTTTTAAAGCTTTTGTTTTTAAATTTACTATATACCAATAAATTTGTTATTTTACTTAAGATCCTGCTTAAGTCCTTCTTGGAGCCTCCAGAGAATCTTCATAGAGGTAGTGCCATCCCCATTCAAATTGGCACAGAATCTATATACCTAGAGCCGGGACCCATAGGCTCAGGACCAGGTGAGCACCACATTTACTAACACATAATTGTGTTTTTATAACTACAATCTACACATTGGTTCGCTCTCTTTTTGTCTTTGAGAGTTACTCCAAATCGAAGTAGAAGGGTGGTGCTACCATAATAAGCACACAAGCCTCAATACGGAGCCAGTGTTTCTATATACAGGCGCCTTGAAATGTGAGTGTACAATTCATCGTGACATCACTACAATTATTGCATTGCCACTTTAAATACCATCTGCACTATATTGTATTTTTTGTATTTTCCTTGACATGTACCCTGTATTCCATCATTGAATGAAATAACATCTGGTAAGCTGCATATGTGTTTAAGCGCTCCGCTTATAGGTGTAGGTCCTTGTCGCTTACACCGCACTGAAATCTACTACAGTGGCATGTTTAAGGTCAGCAGGGACAATGCCAGAAGAGAGAGAGCAGTTGAAGATGTGTGTTAAGGAAGGCACAAGACAACGGGAGAGAGATCTGAAAAGGTGAGATAGGACAGGATCAAGCGGTGGGGCGAGAGGAAAGGAGAAGCGCAGCCACCTCTTGTTCAGTAGCCGGGAAGAAAGTCTGAAGGGTAGGAAAGGCATTATCTACGTGTGGTTGAGAAAGAGACCGGCAAGGTGGGGAGAATTCTTTCTTTAGCAGTTCAATCTTGTCGGTAAAGTAGCATGCAAAGCTATCAGCTGTAAGGTTAGTTTGGGGCGTGGCAACAGCAGGGCAAAGAAGAGAGTTGAAGGTGTCAAAGAGTCGCATGCGATTGCGGGAGCATGAACAAATGAGAGAGGAAAAGAATGGCTGTTTGGCGAGGGCAAGGCCTGCACTGTATGAACTCAATATGAATCTTTAATGGAGAAAGTCTGACTGGGTGCGAGACTTCCTCCAAGAGTGTTCAGCACAATAGGAGCATCTTTGCAGGTTGCGTGTTGATTTAATATTACATAGTTACATAGTTACATAGTTGAAAAGAGACTTGCGTCCATCAAGTTCAGCCTTCCTCACAAATGTTATTGCTGTATGCCACGGTTGGGGGCGTGTCCTCCTCGAAGTGCATGTTTGGAGCGGGGCTGCAGTGTTCAAGGCAAAGGTGAGAGTAGTGTTAAATGTGGAGATGGCCAGTGAGGAACAGGAGAGGGAAGTGATGGATAGCAGTCGTGAATCAATATCAGCTGACAACTGCTGGAGGTCAATAGTGTCCCTTTAAGTAATAAGGCTATATATCCCGCATATTAAATAAATATGCATGTGTGAGAAAATAAAAATTAAGTGTAGAAATCCACACTCCTGTATGTATCCCCATCCTGTAACTGAGTGTCTCCAACTTAGCTTCCTTGTCCGTCAGATATAATCTCTGCAGGTACTGCAATAGTCGCTGCAGTCTGTCACAATAGAGCAACATGGGAAGGACCCGCAATCCTTCTAATAGTAATCAATGTTCAAAATCCACAAGCTCCATGGCATGGTGCAAATAATGATGGAGTTATCTCTGTCCTTTGCATCTGTCAATTATAATGGAGAGAGCAAATAGGGATGAGGAATAACAATGGGGAAATCCATAATGCTCTGTTCTAAAGTAATCTATAGCAGTGTTCTGAAACCATTTAACACCTGCAGTCCGGCGAAAAGAGGAGAAATATGTTGCGGACCAGCATCAGCCAGAAAACCAACAAACAAAGGTATGTGTGAGGGGTGCTGTGTGTGTGTGAGGGGTGCAATTTATGTGTGTGGGGGGATAGCGGTGCAGTGTGTGTATATGAGGGGTGCAGTGTGTGTGTATATGGTGCAGTTTGTGTGGGGGGACAGTGTGTGTGTGTATATAGGTGTAGTGTGTGTGTATGGGGGCAGGGTGTGTGGGGGGCAATGTGTGTGCGGGTGTGTGCGGGTATGGGGGCAGTGTGTGTGTATAGGTGTAGTGTTTGTGTATGGGGGGGCAGGATGTGTGGGGAGGCAATGTGTGTATATAGGGGTAGTGTGTGTATGGAGGGGCAGTGTGTGTGCATAGGGGGCAGTGTGTGTGAGAGGGGTGCAGTGTGTATGTATAGGGGGCAGTGTGTATGTATAGAGGCAGTGTGTGTGAGGGCTATAGTGTGTGTGTTTGGTGTCTGTGTGTGGGAGCAGTGGGTGTGTAAGGGTATGGGGCAGTGTGTGTGTGTAAAGGCAGTGTGTGTATGGAGGGGCAGTGAGCGTGTGTATAGGGAGCAGTGTGTGTGTATGGGGGGCAGTGTGTGTGTGTATGGGGGTAGTGTGTGTATAGGGTGCAATGTGTGAATGGGGGGGCAGTGTGTGTGTATAGGTGTAGTGTGTGTGTATGGGGGCAGTGTGTGGGGGAAGCAGTGTGTGTGCATAGGGGGAAGTGTGTGTATGGGTTGCAATGTATAGGGGCAGTGTGTATGCATAGG